AGGTATTAATATTTATGTATATAAATGAACGTACCTGCGCCCTGTGCGTCGTTTATAGGTAGGTATTAATATTTATGTATATAAATGAACGTACCTGCGCCCTGTGCGTCGTTTATAGGTAGGTATTAATATTTATGTATATAACTGAACGTACCTGCGCCCTGTGCGTCGTTTATAGCTAGGTATTACTATTTATGTATATAAGTGAACGTACCTACGCCCTGTGCATCGTTTATAGGTAGGTATTAACATTTATGTATATAACTGAACGTACCTGCGCCTTGTGCTTCGTTTATAGGTAGGTATTAACATTTATGTATATAAGTAAACGTACCTGCGCCCTGTGCGTCGTGTATAGCTAGGTATTAATATTTATGTATGTAAGTGAACGTACCTACGCCTATTCGGCATGGAACGTCACTATGAAAGCTGAAATTATTTAAACTCGATCTTTGTGTGTATGTGTGTGGGGGGGTCGAAATTGATCATACCAGCGACAAGGTTTCGGACTTACAACGCTAAAATCCTGGATTCGATTCCCCACGGAGACAAAGTGCACTGTGTAGCTTTGCACTGGGAAAACAACAACGACTTGTGACTCTAGACACCAGACAGACTGGTTTATGTATTTTATTTAATTATTCATTAACTAGTTGTTGTACCTCTACATTGAAATTTGGATTCGTCCAGTCGCTTAGTAACAGCCGACAATACAGAGCGATCCCCCGCTGTGCGTTGGCCAATAGAATGTCCCCGGAAGTAGGCTATTTGAAAGAAGCTCGCGCACTTACATTTAAAACAAACCTGGCGATACATTGTTCGTTTTACTGAATTCATTTCATATTTTACAATACTAGGACTAACTGTTAGATTTGTGTGTGTGTGTGTGTGCAGTAGTTTCTAAGCCTTTCTTCGATCTTTGGAGATTGAGAAAAAAGATGGGAAACCATTGAGCTGTGTTCAGTCTACACTTTTGTTCAGAGTTTTGGTCAAAGCTGATGATAAAATACTCTACGAAGTCTGAGAATCGTCCAGAGTGGAACCAAGATCCACATAGCAGTTTGTTCGAAGTGGAAACAATAAACTGACTTATCAAATAAAATAGATGTATGAGAATTGATTTTTTATGTAGCTCTCGTATTCTGATTGGCTGAGGAGTCAGTCGTGGCTCGTGGCTAGCGTGTCTATTATTTGTATCTAGTTGCAGCGAAATCTTGAGACCATATGTGTGTGCGTGTGTTATAAGAGTGACAGCTAAATCCCACTATTCGACTGGACTCGTTAGAGTAGCCCAAGAATTAACGATGGGTGTTGTTCACTAGTTACCTTACGTCAGTTCAAAGTTAGGAGCTACTATTAGAGACAGTCCCTTGTGAAACAATATTCTTCTGGTTCTCAGAGACAGCCCCTGTGAAACAATATTCTTCTGGTTCTCAGAGACAGCCCCTGTGAAACAATATTCTTATGGTTCTCAGAGACAGCCCCTGTGAAACAATATTCTTCTGGTTATTAGAGACAGCCCCTGTGAAACAATATTCTTATGGTTCTCAGAGACAGCCCCTGTGAAACAATGTTCTTATGGTTCTCAGACACAGCCCCTGTGAAACAATATTCTTATGGTTCTCAGAGACAGCCCCTGTGAAACAATATTCTTATGGTTCTCAGAGACAGGCGGTGGGTGGTGATGACTAGCTGCTTTCCCTCTAGTCTTACACTGCTAAATTAGGGACGGCTAGCGCACATAGCCCTCGTGTAGCTTTGCGCGAAATTCAAAACAAACAAACATATAAGAATAATTATTGTATTGCAGATCGTATAATATTTTAAGACGCTACAGATACTGTAGTTATTATTCATATGATGTCTGCTTGCTTGCTTGCTTACTCCTGATATTCGTGCAACGCAAACAAAGAGGGCGCTTTATCTTTAACCGATAGACCAGAGGAAAGGTAGTCAACGGCATTCATCGTCAACTGGAGAACCACCGATGACGCATTAGCATCTATGGCGCCCCCGACCTTGAGACTGAAAATATATGTGTGTGTGTGTGTGTGCGTGCGTAAACATTGAATAAATTTAATATAAAACAGTAAAACCTAGTTAAAAGTAATATGAAAACGAAACGTAACGCTGAGAAAGATTCATTATGTCAACAACAAACGGAAAACGTGTTGGTTAAAATAACTGGTAACAATGAAACTACAATGGGGGATCTCTTAGCTTATCGCCCTTCTTGTAAAGATTTACACTTTTATTAGCCCCCCCCCTATCCGTAGCTCAGCGATAAATCTGAGAGCTTATAACGCTAGAAATCCGGTTTCGATACCCGCCATGAACATAGCACATGTAGCCCATGCGCTTAACAACAATCAAATAATCCTCTACAAATGACGTTTATGATTATAAAGGCCCATGTTGACCTATTATAACCCCCACTATGACCCCCCCCCACTGCGTTATATTTACGATTAAAAGAATGCAGGAAATAAGAACATATAATTCTCATCGCCTTTTTTATTACCACCAGATGGAGCTCGTTTTCGACCCATGTTACGTCAGTGTTCTTTGCAACTGACAGATGCTGAGGTAGTGGTCAGCTACGAGGGAAGGACGCTAATAATGGATAAAGAAATTAGCCTCCCTCACGCCAGTAAACTGGACTTCAGATGTTCCGAAGTAGGAATGTACAAATTTGTTGGAGAGAAGACCTTAACTTGCTCCAATGGACATTGGAGTTCCATTTTACCTCGGTGTGTGGCCACAACTCTGCAGCGAAATTTTTCAGGTGAAATACAATACAATATCACTTAGATGTTAGATTAAAACTAACTTAGTAATTACACTTAGATGTTAGATTAAAACTAAATTAGTAATTACACTTAGATGTTAGATTAAAACTAACTTAGTAATTACACTTAGATGTTAGATTAAAACTAAATTAGTAATTACACTTAGATGTTAAATTAAAACTAAATTAGTAATTACACTTAGATGTTAGATTAAAACTAAGTTAGTAATTACACTTAGCTGTTAGATTAAAACTAAATTAGTAATTACACTTAGATGTTAGATTAAAACTAAATTAGTAATTACACTTAGATGTTAGATTAAAACTAACTTAGTAATTACACTTAGATGTTATTAAACTAAATTAGTAATTACACTTAGATGTTAGATTAAGACTATCGAACTGGTGTATTTAAGTGTTTTACACTCACAAAAAATAAACCTATCATTCTAAAGGTATTTGAAGAACTTGTAGCAATCCTCCACAATTTACTTCTTCGTATTGTTATCGAACACTAGGTAGCTGATACATACATAGTTGAATAGAGTTGTTTAAACGTTTGTTTAACATCAAGTAAAAGCTTGGAATGGTCTATTATTTCACTACCACCAATCTTATTGTGAAACAAATGTTTAAACAACTCTATTCAGGCTAAGACTAAATTAGTGACTAAAATACTGCGATATTTGAGTTCAAAGTTCTCTCGCCAGAATGTTTCATTTCGAAGATGATCCTTTCTGTTTTTGAATGAAAATGTGACCCAAAAACTTTATTTCATGAAACTAATTTGACCTGCTCCAAAAACTTATCGACTAAGTTTCATAGTGCAGGCAGTGGCGTAACTTCGGTTTCAAAAGTGTAAGATCATTCTGTTTCAATTGTTAGTGACATGTAAGGTCATCCTATCTCAATTAATTTGATTGTTCGTGATAATTAAGGTCACCCAGTTTTAATTAATATTGACTGCTAGTTACATGTAAGGTCATCCCATCTCAATTAATTTGATTGTTCGTGATAATTAAGGTCATCCAGTTTTAATTAATATTGACTGCGAGTTACATGTTAGGTCATCCTATCTCAACTAATTTGGTTGTTCGTGATAATTAAGGTCATCCAGTTTTAATTAATATTGACTGCGAGTTACATGTAAGGTCATCCTGTCTCAATTAATATTGACTGCTAGTTACATGTAAGGGCATCCTGTCTCAATTAATATTGACTACTAGTTACATGTAAGGTCATCCTGTCTCAATTAATATTGACTGCTAGTTACATGTAAGGTCATCCTGTCTCAACTAATATTGACTGCTAGTTACATGTAAGGTCATCCTGTCTCAATTAATATTGACTGCTAGTTACATGTAAGGTCATCCTGTCTCAATTAATATTGACTGCTAGTTACATGTAAGGTCATCCTGTCTCAATTAATATTGACTGCTAGTTACATGTAAGGTCATACTGTCTCAATTAATATTGACTGCTAGTTACATGTAAGGTCATCCTGTCTCAATTAATATTGACTGCTAGTTACATGTAAGGTCATCCTGTCTCAACTAATATTGCCTGTTTTCAAAAGTGGAGGGGGAAGGCAATTTTCTGTATTTGGGGTATGCATAAGGTTATTTTATCAAAAGAAGGTATTCTATCCTAGAAAATCTACAGGGGGGGCATGTCCCCATTAAAATTACACCTATGAATGTTAGGAGCCTTAATCCTTACAAATAAGAATGGATTTCAGAGTTCGGCCTTTGTCATTTTACGAGATTTATGAATAGTGGAATTAACCGTCACATTATAACGCCTCCACGGCTGAAAGGACGAGCATGTTTGGTGAGACGGGGATTCGACCCCCAGATTGTTCTTATTTTAAAATATAATCGATATTGTCTCGAATTTCGATTAGACATTCAATAAACCTCCTTCTTCGGGGACATTAAAAAAGTTACTATTTTTAGTGGCTTGACGGACTACTCTAAATACAAGTAGATCCACACCAGCAGGGAAAGGCCTGAATCAAACATAATACTTTTCTTCAAAGATGAGTTAAAAAACAAGCTATAAGGTCACGTGTTGCTTCACGTAACACCTTTATCTTGTGTGTGTGTGTGTGTGAAACTCGTCTAGTGTGTATTTTTTTTTCTCTGAAATAAGCAACTCGATCTGACAAAGCAGACGTCATCTGATTTTTTTTCTACCCGCGTTGTCTAGCAGATTAATCAACATTCATTGACAGGCATAATCATCTTTCTGATTGGACGGATACGTTTAACGTCACGACGTTTGATGGATGACTTTATGGAGAGCAGTTTTGAATTGTCTGATCGAACGGGAAGATTTATTTCAAAGACAGTGGCTGAGTCATTTATTTAAAAATGAAATTGTGTTTTTTTCTTACTTTGTGTTATAAATTAATAACATATTAGTGTAAACAAAAAAATCAACCAATGTTTTTTTTTTTGATGGTTCATATTAAACGATAGCTCTAATTCTTATGAAGTGAACGGGGGGAAATTCTCTGTTAGGTTGTTGTTTTTGAATTTCGCGCAAAGCTACACGAGGGCTATCTGCGCTAGCCGTCCCTAATTTTAGCAGTGTAAGACTAGAGGGAAGGCAGCTAGTCATCACGACCCACCGCCAACTCTTGGGCTACTCTTTTACCAACGAATAGTGGGATTGACCGTCATATTATAACGCCCCCCACGGCTGAAAGGGCGAGCATGTTTGGTGTGACAGGGATTCGAACCCGCGACCCTCAGATTGCGAGTCGAGTGCCTTTACCACCTGGCCATGCCGGGCCTCTCGGTATAGTAACAACAATATATCTACAGTTTTCTTGTATTTAGTCCGTGTCCCTCCGGTGGAAAGTCCTACTATTTATTAAATAACAAATGTAACTCCTAGTACAATATATTTACATTTTATTGAAACACACGAATTGGTTTAATTATGTTTTTTTTATTTTAGAGCACATTGATATTTTGGTATACAATCGTACAACTAAGAAAC